ATATTCTTTACACAATTGCTATTCAAACTTTAGGAAATGGAATAAACTTGTAACATGACTCGTACACTGGGCTAAGTGAAAAAACATACTGTCTGTCCTAAAAAATTTGTTAATTGGGCAGACAACTCATCAATAAATGAAAAACTTAAATAAGCAGGAAATTTTGGATTCATTTCTAAATTAACTGTGGCAGCACTTATTACTATACTTTTAAAGGAAGGTTGGTTACATTGTTTTTATTTAAGGGTTTATTGCCCTCTAGTGGATCAAATAAGTAACTCTAAAAATCTGTAAAAACAGCAAATTTGAGAACTGTAATGAAAGGGGTCATTAGTATTTTTACTATTTGTATTTCAGCTGGTGAACCCCAGAAATTGGCAAAAAGGCTTCCCATTTATTGTCTGTTGGACAATAACAGAATAAGATGCTTTCAGACAGTTAATATTAATTAATTTCCTTTGGTGTTTTCATAGTATTTCCTTCATACTTGCCACCTGGTTTATTATTGTATTTATTTATTTATTTATTTATTTGCCTAGGCTCTGGGGTGTTTTTAGAGTTTGTTTTATTTCTCTGTCTCTCTCTACTGCTTGACTTGCAGTATAGTGGATGCATGTCTGATGAATAATTGAATGAAACACCAGGAATAAGTAAACACTAAAATTAGGAAGGCAGGATGACACACTCGGGAACAATTTCATATGTGGTATCTTTTGCAGTTTATCTTTCTTCTAACATTTATTGGGAAGGATGATGATATCGTATTACATTTCTTTCAGCTCCATCACAGCAAACCATATCCCAATTTAATATGCTAACATATTTATTTATTCATCAGTTATTAATTGTGCAGCTGCTAAATGCTAGGGGGGGATAGCGTGATTGACGGACAAACAGACAAGGTCCCTACCTAGTCAGTAGACTTACCGTCTAGTGTAAGAGACAGACATTAAATAATCACACAAAAAATTTACCTGCAATTCTGGCAAATTCTATTTTGGAAATGCATAGTGCCATGAGAAGATATAACGGGGACTAATTTAGTTTTTGATGGGAGGAATGGGGAAAGAGAAGAGGATAATTAGGAAAATACATAACCTTATTTTTAAAAAGTATTTTCTCAGGGTAGTAGTGTTAAGGGCAATTTTTATTTCCTTTATATATTTAAGATATTTTCTAAGTGTATCACTTTCATAATTAGAAAAAATCAATAAATACAATAAAAATACTGGAGAGGGACATTAGCAATAATATACAAAGAAAAGCTTGCTTTCTTTAAATCTCTCACACATAAAAGTAGAAATAAGGAGGGTAGAAAGAGGGACAAAAGTATAAGTGTTGGGGCAGAACTAATTAAGGCCTCAGTTGGCCTTTGTTTTGAAAGCCCAGGGATAACCCAGGTCAATGTCCAGGAATGAAGGCTCTGATAGACTTATGCTTATTAAAATATGTGGGGTCCATGTGGACACACTATAGTACATATCTAATTTACCATGGAATATTCTGGAATACTTTCTCTCCTTTTAGACAAGCCATGATGGGGAGCTGAACCGTAATCCAAAGATGTTTTACTAATTTACCATGAAAAATTACCATCACAGGGAAGGGACATATCAGAAGCCTGTATTTAAATATTTGGTATAACTACATATTATACTCAAATTATAAACAGAAAGTTGCTTGAAGAAGAGCTGTGTGGTGAATCAACTATTTAATGGAATCAAGCTAATGCCTGATGCATCTTTCATTCTAGAGATGATTTTGTCAGTGGTACCAGATATATAAACTCATCGATTACAACCTCTGCATCCCATTTTCATACTAGACAAGTATTTCTCAAACTTTATCATACATCAAAATCACCCAGAAGGCTTGATAAAACAGATTGCTGGACTCCAACTCCAGAGTTTGATTCAGTAAGTCTGGGATAAGTGTCTGAGAATCTGCATTTTCATAAGTTCCCAGGTAATGGCCAAATTGTCCACACTGGAAAACCAGTAGCTTAGTCATTGAGACTATCTCATGGTGAATAACACTTGTGATAAATATGGTTATAATTAAATTCCCAAGGCCTGACAGCATCTCAGTCTCGTTTAAATTATTTTGCAATTCTTTGCTCTAATCCATTATTTGGTGACCTTTCAGCTCAACTACTTCATAATCAAGTTCTCAGAAGGCATCTTAATCATTTATGGAAAACTGTGCCCATACATGCACATACCAACACAACTTTTTTTCTTCTTTGGGCTAGACTAGAAGATCTAGAATAACTGGGTTAGATTAGAAAATCTAAACTAATTCTTATTCCATGTTAGATCCTAGAGAAAAAGTTCAGTGAAGTATTTAGTGTAAACTGGCATCTGGGGATGGGGCTGAAGAGAACATAAAAGTATAAGATATGAATCCTATCTTAAAGTTCATAATCCAGTTTGAGTTCATTTGACTGCTTTACAGTTTGCAAAGTGCTTTTGCATCATTATCTGATCCACTTAGAGAAGTTAAATAACTAATTAAAGAATAGGAATTAGGAGAAATCAGGTCTGGAACTCATGCCTTCTGATGAGTAGCTTACTAGTCTTTCTAGTACATCACTCTCTTTGTTCAAGCTTCACACTTGAAAGAAACTATGTGTATTTGCTTCAAGACTGTGCCCAAAGGATGAAATTACTCCTTTGAAAAACTTGTCCTAGTTCTAAGGGCATAAAGAAAAGAAAGTATGACTAACTTTTCTCCCTTTCTTCATTCCTCTCCAAACTGTTCTTGCCTTGCATGAAAATCTTTGTCACCTTGTAATTATCCAATTTTCTATTTCATAATTTACAGGCCAAGAGGCCTCAGTTATGGGAAGGGTGGCTATTTTGAACTGTTTTCTTAACACTATCTAATGGTTTCCTCCAAGGGCACATACTTGTTTAATTTTTCTAAAGGCAGTCATAATTAGTCTCTAAAACATAATTTAGTGACATTAACACGAAAACTCTAGAAAAGAGAGGCAGGCAGGACAGTGAAAATTAAGTAAGCAAAAAAAAAAAAGAGACAAAACCCAGTGAAAGGAGAAATACTGATGAAAAATCCTTTAAAAACATGAACCAGGAAAATTTTAGTACAATACGGTTTTTCCGTTGACTGTCATTTATGGGATATTTATTACAGGGATGGAGAAGGTAATAGGGTTAAAGAGAGAAAAAACAGGCTCTTGTGTTCAAGGAATTTATAATCTATTGGCTAAGACAGACAATATATATCAATGAAATAATATATGCAAGTTCCAGACTTCTATACCTTAACTGCTTACCTGAGAGCCAACTGTATTTGATGTCTCATAGGGATCTCACGGTTTAAGTTAAAAAACCTGAATTCTTAGTTTCCTCTCAAACCTCTTTTTTTGCAATTTTGCTCCATCTCAGTAAATGGTACCACTCACTAACCAGTAACTCAGGCCAGTACCTGGGAGTCATTTGTCATTCCTCCCTTTCTTTCACATCCCACATCACACTCATCAGAAGGTACTTGAATTTACTTCCATACTTAGAAACCATCATTCACCTTTCCCTTATATATTCTGCCATCATCTTAATCCAAACCACCATTATCTCCTGTTTATGGTGCTGGATTAACCTCCTTATCATGATTTGGTCTCTGCCCATCTTTCCAGATTCATCTCATACAACTGTCCTTTCTGAATATATTCCAGCAATACTGGTCTTTCCTTAGATTCTTGAACATTAACATGTCAAGCTCTTTCCTGCCTCAGTACCTTTGCACAACCTGTTCACTCTGTTTAGAATGTTGTTCTTTTCCTCTCTTGCACAGTTGGATCATGCTCATCTTTTAGGCATCAATATCAACTCCTCGGAAAGGTCTTCTTAGACCAGTCTAATTCACATAGTTTCCTTGTAAGTTCTCCTTAATTCCATCCATATAAGGTAAGTTCCATTAGAACAGGAATCTACCTTGTTTATCATCGGATCTCAGTACCTAGCAGTTCCTGGCACAGACCAAAGAAGCACTTAACTATCTGCAGAATAAACAAATAATTACTTGGTGCTCTGTGATCCAGTCTTGTGGGGTCAGGAAAGGGTTTCTGATTTAAAAGGCTTTGCAAACTGAGTAAGAATTAGCCAGGTCACGGACAGGGTCAGAAGACGGTTTGGGGTGAGAAGGAGGATAGCACACTTCAGGAACACAGAAGACATTCTATATGGCTGGAGCGGTGGAAAACCACTGGGGCTGAAGAGGCAGGCAAAAGTCAGACAGGAAAGAGCCTGTAAGTCATGTTAAAGAGTTTGGGCTTAAACCTGAGGGCAAATAGGAGCGACTGAAAGGTTTTCAATGGGGAGTGCCTCGGGCAAATATGAACTTTATCAGCCCAGCAGTGTGGAGACTGGACTGGAATGTGGCAAGATTGAAAGCAGGAGAACCAGCTGGGGCAGGTGGGGGTACTGCCACAGCTATGTAGCAGTCATAGGGTCAAACCAAAATAATGTCAGTAAAAAACGGAGAGACGTGAACAGATCTGAGACATTCAAGAGGCTGGTAGGGACTGGCTGGATGCGAAAAGGAAGAAAACTTTCAATTCTGGTTTAAGCACATGGCTCAGTTAAAGTATGTTCCCTCTAAGCCATGATACCAGTTTGGCAGATCCCCTTTCAGCACGTACTACTCTGCACAGTGGCCCGCTGAATACGTATTTGTACATCACAGAAGCAAGAGTCGCGCCTTTTCCACTCTACCTCCGATTCTAAAAGCTCACTCGGAGTCTAGCTCGATGCCACTGTAAGTGTTCAATAAACGTTCGTTAGGTGATTGCAACTGCACTGAATCTAAAATAAAATAACTGACGTTTATATCTTTTACCCTCATATCCGCCCGTTTACAGAGAATAACTCGTGAAAAAACAAGTGCCGGACTCTGGGTGGGTCTCATTCATAATGAAGTTAAGAGCCTCCTCGGGAGTCTCCGGCCCTTAGGCTTCCCGAGAACCCCTTTACCCAGCTCACCTGAGGGAGAAGACCAGAAGCGGGCCCAGGCGACACACAGTGACTCAGACCGGCCGGATCAGTAGTTCGCCGGGAGCCTTCCAAACGAATCTCCCGCGTCCTTTTCCGCCGGAAGTAACGCTTTGGCTGGGTTTACTCAGAGCCAATCAGAAGAAGGCGCCGCAGAGGGTGGTGCTTAGCCAAGAAATCCTACAGGCTTGTGGGAACGACCATTTTCGTCAAACTGCGGGTAGAATCGGTGGATCAGCAGTACAGTCCGTAAAGTTGGTTTTGGCGGCGCTGAGCCTCCTGGGCGTAGGGATCCCCGGAAAGTGTGTAGCAAGCCTGGGCGCCCTGGGGTCAGGCGGGGTGACTGAAATAGGGAATGGAAGCCGGATGAAGAGGGTTGAGGGAGCTTTAGAAGCGGACCCGGCGCTGTCCTAGGGGCTAGCACTACTCAGCGGCGGAGGGGGGAAGGGGGCTTTGGCAGGAGGCAGGAGGGAGGTGGAGCGCGGAGTGGGTTTTCGGGTGCCGAAGAGGAAAGGGGCGTTACTTGAAAGAAGGGACCGGGACCTGGCGGGATTTAGGGACGATGTGGACCCGGAGCGACCTCTGTAATGGATGGGTTGTGCAAGCAACACAGTTTTGGGGTTACCAAAGAACGGAGTATCATAGGGAGTGGTTAGGCTCCATGATGGAGGTGGGTGCAAGGAGCACAGTCTTTGGAGCTGGACCCAGCGGTCTGCGACGACGTGCTCCGCTTACTGCTGAGTGATCTAGTGCAAGTTCCCGCACCTCTCTGAGCCTCCGTTTCCACATCTGTAGATGGGAATAACAATCAAATACGACGCACAAGATTGCTGTGACGATTGAGTTAGAGGAGATGATGCCTGTGCCTCCCTGCCTCCTGATATACTGGCCTGTAGTGAACCTTCAATGAATTGTCATGGAAGCTGTTATTGCCTTTATGTGGGATTTGCGGAGGGCAGGAGGTGTAGCAATGGAATTGAGGCAGCCAGGGCAGAGTTTGGCGGTGATTATAATGGTGGGGATATAGGGTGACCTGAAGGACAGGTGGGCTTCGGGGGCGCTATAGATAAAGCATGGGCTACAGCGATGAGGTAGGAAGAGGCCCTACCATGATAAAGGCAGACTTGGGATGTGACCGCAATGAAGGTGAGTGCTAAGAAGCAGACGGCACGAGAGGAAAGGGGAGTGGAGGCGGTGCCCTCGGGGATGGGGGCGGAGTGGCTGTGGTGACCTGGTTTGGGCGGTGTCTGAGGAGCTGGCTGGCTTTGGATTTCCCCCGGGAGGAGCCGTTTTGCGGCGGGCGGAGCTGCAGACTGGGCAGGGCTTAGCCTGTGCGCTGCTGCTGGCCTCCTTTTCGCCCTCCCACCCGCACTGCAGCCGCCAGCCTGAGCCATGGGCCGCCGAGCCCTCCTGCTCCTGCTTCTGCCTTTTCTGGCGCCCTGGGCCACCAAGGCCCTCCGGCCGGCCTTAAGGGCCCTCGGCAGCCTACACTTGCCAACAAACCCCACATCCCTCCCGGCTGTAGCCAAGAACTATTCGGTTCTCTACTTCCAACAGAAGGTAAGGGGGAGTGGGGGCTTCGCCGTCCCCGGCCCAACTGCCGGGAACCCTCAGAGCCCGGGCAACGGAGCCCACCTCGAAATTCACACCCCTTGATGCCTGGGATCTCTTCGGTCTTTGGCTCATGTCTTCCAGAAGGTGGTCTCAAATCCCAGTTTTGTTTAATTTTTCTCCTCCCATTACCAATAATTTGGTAGTAGTTCTGGCTCCGTACTCTTGATTCAGGCTGTTCTGCAATTGGACACGGCAGTCACTTCAACTCCGCCTGCTCCCATAGGGTGCCCCAATCCGAACTCCCTTGACCTTCCCTCAAATTCAAATTATTAAATGCCAGCTCTGCTACCTAGTCTGCGGTGATAGTCATGCTTTGCCCCAAGGCAGCCCTAAATACAAATTCTAGTATCTTTACCTATTAGATAATATTGGATAGTTATCCATCCTAAAAACCAGCCTCTCATAAGGGGTCAGCTCAGAGCTGATTTTGTAGCCCTATTATTAAGAATTGTTGAAATCCCTATTCCCCATAAGACTGAACGTGTGTAGCCTATGGTTGTAAAAGGAGTTGTAGGAGCTTGTGGTGGGGTTGGGGATTAGCCTTTCTATGGTTTGTAACATGATTTTAGAGCTTTTTAGGCTTGATGCCTTTGTGCTTGGCTGCAGCATGAGGCATTCCCCCACAGGTCTTGATGGAAAAGTACATCCTCTGTGAAATGACGAGGAATCCTTACAGTTCAGCATTTCTGAAAGCCTGTGTAAAAATAGGAAAAGATTTGGAAAGGGTTGGGATTAGAAAGAGTGCAAGGGTCTGAAGCTTGGCTTTAGGAGTCAGGTAGAACCAGATTCTACCCTGCTAGCTCTATGACCTTGGGCAGGTTACAGTACTTCTCTGAGCCTAGTTCCTTGATCTCTTGGGGTTTGTGGTGATGGTTAAGTGAGAGCAGATAACGTGTTCCTAGCAGAGTATCTGGCCTCAAGTAGGCACTCATATAATATGTGGTCATAGACCTACGTGAAATTTTGTTGTTGTTGATTGTATAGAGACAAGGCTCACTATGTTGCCCAGGCTAGTCTTAAACTTGTGGACTCAATAATCCTTCTGCATCAGCCTCCCAAAGTGTTGGGATTACAGGCTTGAGCCACTGAGCCCAGCCCTTATATGAATTTTGAATGGGAATTTGTGGTAGAGGGATGTCATAGACTTCCAGAATAACTTAGAAATAATTTAATTTTTTTTTTTTTATTTTTAAAAATAGAGATGGGGTTTTGCCATGTTGCCTAGGCTGGTCTTGAACTCCTGGGCTCAAGCAATGTCCCAAAGGGCTGGGATTGCAGGCGTGTGCCACTGTGTGCAGCCAGGAAACAATTTTTAACTCAGACATTTGAGTTCAAGTTTATGAGGAAGATAAAACATTTTAATTTTACCAGGGATACCAGGAAATAGTCTTTTTTCTCAGGCAACTCCCTTAAATTAATTCTCTAGGCATAATTCCCTCATTTGTAAATTGGGAGGGTTGGGACAAAGACCAATGTGTTTCACACTTTACTGAGGAAAATTAAGGGCTCTTTGGGGAGCTGTTTCAGAGGGAAAGTGGATGAAGGCTGAAGTGGAGGCCAAATTAGGTGCTCCAATACCCCCCTCTTGGATCTCTTTCAGCTTTTATCTGTTTTATATGCTGGGATTTTATATACAACTATTTGCAGAGCTCAACTGCTAAAGTAAAATGGGGAGAGGACTATTGGAATGGAAGATCTCTAAAATCCCACTGGGATTGATGAAAAAGAGAACTATCAGCAGAAAAGGACAGAGTGAAAGAGTGAAAGGGTGGAAGGGAACAAATTATTTGTTAGTACCTTAGTTCCTACTTTATGTTCCTTTGTTGTAGATTCCTTTCTTGGCCACTACGCTCCTTAGAAATACAATTCAAACACCTTGGCTTGGGAATCCATTGTTCCTTACTATGAAACCCTAGCTGGTCGTTCCAACTTGATATTCTGCCATAATCCCCCATCCCAGCTCCCACTTTTAGCAACCTAACAGACTCAGATGACTTTTACTGTGTCAGAAATTCTGTCTGGAATAACATCCCTCTTCTCCGCTATTTAAACTCATACTTCTATTCCTGCAGAAATGTCACCTCTTCTGTGAATCTGACTTTTTTAAGGCAATTTAGTTGGTCTTTTTTCATCCTGCTCATTTCTATATTGTAGGTGTCCCTCTAGCTAGTTAGTACTCTACAATACCTAGAAGAGCCTATAAAAAAGTATAAAGCACAAAATAGCTGTTGAGAGAGTGAATGCATAATTATCCAAAAAGAACCTAAACAAAGGCTACCATCATTTAATTGTCACAAATCATTTTTTATTTTTCTTTTTATCTTTTACTTTAGTTCTTTATTAATTATTTTTTTCCTCCTTTTTCAAAGCCTTCAAATACTGATTTGGGTAGGAATATTTGATTTCTTTTACCTGAAATAACTGAATTAGGAGACCAGAGAAAGGATAGTACATCACTTGGGCACATCAAGGCTCTGGGTACATGTGTAGTATGTGTGGTATCAGTGTCATAAAGGGCTCTCTGGAATGTGTGGCTTGTGGTTACAGTGTTGCATGCTTATTACCTTGTACCTCCCACCTGAGCCCCTCAGGCTAGAATGTGAGTCCCAAATCACACATTTTAGTGTGTGATATAGTCAAGAGGGAGAATGGGTCCTTGTCAGGCCATCATTTTTCTCAGTGGTAAAATTGGGAGCAATATCTATTATATTGTCAGGGTGTGTGTCTGTGTGTTTCTCTCTCTACAAGAGAGATTTTTATTAAGGAATTGGCTCATCCAATTGTGGAGGCTTCGTAAGTCCAAAATCTTCAGGTAAGGTTGGTAGGCTGGAAACCCAGGGGAGAGTTTGCAGTTTGGATGCACAGGCATTCTGCTGGCAGAATTTCTTCTTGCTTAGGAGAAGTCAGTCTTTTTTTTTTTTTGAGTTGGGGTTTCGCTCTGTTGCCCAGGCTGGGGTGCAGTGGCGAGATCTCGGCTCACTGCAGCCTCTGCCTCCCGGGTTCAAGTAATTCTTCTGCCTTAGCCTCCCAAGTAGCTAGGATTACAGGTGCTTGCCACCATGGCTGGCTAATTTTTGCAGTTTTAAAAATACAGACAGGGTTTTACCATGTTGGCCAGGCTGGTCTTGACCCCCTGACCTCAAGTGATCCACCTGCCTCGGCCTCCCAAAGTCAGGGGAAGTCAAACTTTGTTCTATTAAAGCCTTAAACTGATTAGATAAGGCCCACCCAAATTATGGAGGGTAAAGTCCATTGATTTATAGTCCGCTGATTTAAATATTAATCTCATCCAAAAAATACCTTCACAAAAACATCTAGAATGATGGTTGACCAAATAGCCGGGCACCATGGCCTATAAAGTTGGCATGTAAAATTAATCATCACATCCACCAAGGCTGTTGTCAGATTTCAGTGTGGTAACACATGAAAGCCACATGGATGGTGCATAGAACATGGTAGGAATTTAAACAACTTAATGGAACAAATGCTAGTTCCTTTACAACTCTGTCCTGAAAATTCATTCTCATCCAAATGCATGACAATAGTGGTAAATGCTCTTCTGAAAACTTAGTACCCCGCCATTCCTATTTAACTGCTGATCATTGTTTCTGTTAGAAGTCTGTGTTTTGGCCCAGCATTGAGCTCATGGTCACTGGCTCCTGCAGCTCCTTCCTCATCTGCTATGAGGGAATCACATCAGTGGGCTAAGCTATTTAAATTTACACACGTCCTTTATAGTTCTGCTTTCAATTCCTGTTCTAGGTTCCCCTTTCCCACTTTTGTCACAGTGGCCCTGATGTCTGGTAAAATGTTATGTCTAGCTATGTTAGGCACCTTGGAAGGCCATGTTGATAAAGATCTTGTTCCTCCTTCTTTAAATTTTTCTTCCCGTTTCTCCTCTTCGTATCTGTTCATCTACTGATGGCCTTCCCCTTAGGCCTGGAGTATCCTGTCAGAAATGTTATGTGAATTCAGAACCGATTTATGTGTTTGGTGATACAGAATCAGTTTTAGAAGGGGCCTTGGTGATCATGTAGCCTCCCCCTTAGATATGATGGATTGACCTTGATCTAAATTATAGAGCGTCAGAAACTTGATAGAGCTTGAATAGGAGGGTGGTTCAAAGCACAACTTTTAGTGTTGGGTGTGGTGGCTCACCCCTGAAATCCTAGCATTTTGAGAGGCTGGGAGGATCACATGAGGCCAGGAGCTAGCGACCAGGTTGGGCAACATAGTGAGACCCTATCTCTACAAAAAAATAAACAACAACAACAAAACCCAAAGCATATCACTTAGAGGCAAACAGGTTTGAGAACAAGTTCTGTTTCTGCCACTACCTGAGTAAGTTACTCAGAGGCAGCTCCTATTTTCATAATCAGCAAAATGGAGATAATTATATTACCTATCCCGTAAGTTTGTTGTAAAAAGAGGTGGTATGTGTAAAGTGCTTATTTAGCACAGTGCATAACACTTAGTAAACTATAAATGATAAACATTTTTATCTTGCCGTTTCCTAATGTACATGGTTTTAA